AAATAGGCTTCAAATCTCACAAACACATGAAAGAAGTTACAATCTTATCCATTCTCTAGACAACAGAAATTCAAATTGACCTAAGCCCCAAATTCCACATTACTATCTTTAAGGTTTCACTGTACTTTACAGTCTACAAAACACAATTAGAATTCAATAAATGCAATCCAGTAACAAAACACTGGAAAAGTTAAACAGAAGTTAAGAGAATGTGTTCTTCAAGACTCATTTAAAGCTCCTGTGAACAGTTGCATACCACCCGACTTTCCCTATACTCGTGAGTTTCTTGCTTTCTTTCGTTTGCAGTGGGTATATATCCTCAAATAAGACCATGCAGAAAGCTACTAGGAGGCCTCCAACGCCCTCTGCTACGTTCTGTGACAGGAGCTCTCCGCCCTTGCTCCCAGGCAGCGTCACACAAGTGTGCCAATACCTAATCTATGCTTTGGCTCAATTTTTACACATTTCAATATAGTTAAAAAAGAAAACAACAGGGGCAAGCAGTTGGCATAATGGCTATGTCACTAGACTCCCATGTAGTCAATGGCGGTTTGAATCTCAGATCCAGGGGCTGAAACTCACGCCAGGCGCATGTGTGTGCGTGCCCAAAATCCCAAGAGGAGAATGGAAGAGAAGGGATTGCAGTGTGGCCATGCCCCCTGGGGGGTGATTTCTTGCTTTCTGTCTCTCTGTCTTTCTCTGTCTTTCTGGCGAGCGCACACGCCCTAAAGCAAAAACCTCTCAAACAAACAAACAGAACTAAAAATAAATTAAGTAAAAACGGCAATATCATCCTTTGGAAGTGAAGTTCGGGGCTGATTAGTTTTAAGGAGGTGAGCTCAGTACTGACACCAGCAGGAAACAGAGCAAGACAAACTCAGGAGGTCAATGTATAGCAGCAATTGTTCTTTCTGAAAGAGGACTCGATCCACCTGAAGATGAGCATTAATAAAACACAGAAATTCACTCTAAAGCTATTTGCAAACATAGTACATGAATAGACTTATACACTCTCCATTTAACATTTTGAAATGATTTCCAGAAATGCAGCTCCTACATGTAATGAGTGGACCACAGCAAGTAAACCTCTGTGACCCTTGATTTCCCCATAGGAAAATGAAGATTCATAACAATACCAAATTCACCTGTCTCATAGGTGCACACACATACACACACAGAACTGTTCTGGACATAAGTTGTGCTCTGGGTGCTCCTTGTTCTCTAAGAACTGTCCTCCTGATACAGCAGCCCCATCACCATTAAGGCCCACACAGTCTGGATCCTTAACCCATCCGAACACTGGTTATCTTTTCTGTAAAATAAGGCCAAGAGAAGCCATCATCATGTAAGACACATTTAAAATATCAGGTACAGGGCTGACCCCATGGCCTAGTGGTGAAAGGGAGCCAAATCCCACATGGTCGATGACAGTTCAAATCCCAGTCCTGGCAGCTTGAAGAACATAACTGGACCCAGGTGTGTGCATGTGTGCCCCTAATCCCACAAGGATGAAGAAATGGAAGAGGGGGATTACGGCATGACTATGCCCCCATCGGGAGGTGCTTTCTCCTTCCCTCTGTCCATGATGAGTACATGCCCCTTGGGCCATTTAAAAAGAAAAGAAAGGAAAAATAAAATAAAGCACCAGGGACATGGTAGGTGACCCCACGACACAGCTCCTGGACTGACTGTACTGCAGAGTAAACCACAACCCTGCCTACATTTGCAGGGAGCCGGCCGGGATCCTGCAAATGTGAACTGAATGATAAATGCGCCCCCAAGAGTCTACAGCTGGCTATCTCCATTCAGGGGACTACAAAGAGCATGAGAAGAGCAATTAACCTGGAAACGTCATGCAGATAAAGCTGTGGATGAGCTCTGGGAAAACTCAAAAAAGCATGTGACAGATCTTTACTGACTGCATGCCATGTGCCTGCATGGTCCTAGTGACCACTGTTTTGTGGGTACAAGTGCCCCTGGCTCATGCAACAGAAGACAAATACCAACCAAATACCCATGTGGATTTAAAACTGACCAGTGCCCTCGCGGGTATAAAGTATAGTGCCCAAGGACACAGAGCCATGGGGGACCTGGATTTCAACTGCATGGGAACACACAGAAAAGCCCTGACTTGGTCTACCCACAGCCTCCCTTGCAGCCAGCGATGTGGGAGCTTCTATCGTGTGTATCCCAAGAGATAGCCCAAGAGATGCCTCTCGCTATGAGTTTATTGTCACCATTGTGAAGAGGTCATATGTAGAGAAGTCTCTGAAATTTTCAGCATAAACAAATCCAGCTACATAGAATGCAGTTACTCAGCCTCTTCAATGGTATGGCTTTAGGAGCTGACCCTGGAGTTAACAGCCAGAACCTTCCTGGGCTCTCTTGTCTCCTGAAGTGCAAACCCCCATGTTTCCCGATTACACTGGCAACAGGGAGCAGCTTATCTGAGGGATACAGAAAGAAACAGACGGTATTGAGAGTGTTCTGTTCTCAAGCTTATATTCCCCCACCCCAAACCGACAGTGCTAGCAGGCGGTAAGCGGCGGCCTGCTGCATGTCTGCAGCGTCTGTAACCGAAGTCTGTACCTTCCTCTTAATTCCCAGCTGTGAACATCAACATCCCTATTTCAAGCCCCGAATTGTTCTACTCTCCAATGAACCTTTCAGCAACAAAATGTCCTAAGTTGTTACACTGAATTCTTTTATAATTCAATTACTTATTGATGCCAGAACACTGAATTAAATTAATTAGGAGGCATGGCATGAAAGTCATGCTCAATTTAACAGAAGATAAAGGGACCACAGTGTTTGCAACGTTAGAACTTCTCTTTCCACGCTGACTTTGTTGAGTTTACTCTGACCCATCAGCTGTGTCATATGATCAAACTGTGCAATCATGACCAGGTCACGACCACCTTTTTAAGTGTGATGGCAAGTCTATGTTCATTGGTCCAGGATATTCCCAACTGAGCCATAATAAAGGAATTTAGGAAAACAGATGATCTTTTTAAATAGCTGCCTCAGGCAGAAGTAATTATCAATAAGGAGAGGGTGGAGACTGAGAAGGAGTCAGTGATGAATTAGGAAGGCTCGCCAATCCCGAGAGAGATAATGAGAAAAATTAAAGTGAAAAAAATCCTTCCATATGGATTTAAAGCAACTGTTTAAAAACCATACAAGACAAGACATAGGCAGCTCTATGACACTAACAGGTGCACAGTCCCGCAACACAACAGAGTTCACAGCACAAAGATGAGTGAAAGCAGGAAGAAAGGGCAAGGAATCAACCCTGGCTCTGTGAGTGAGTGCAGACCAGGAAACCACTCTGTCCTAGACGGCTTGCCGGGGACATCAGCACATCACGTACTAGACATACTAGACGGCCTTTCTAAAAGGCAACAGTGTATGGTCAGAAAGCTTTGCTTGTTTGTTTTTTTCAGAGAGAGATTGTTGCAAGAGGGGTGCATGCACTCACTAGAGAAAAAGCAGAAATCACCACCCCCCAGGGGGAATGGTCTCACCACAGTCCCTTCTCCGTTCTCTTCCTAGGATCTTGGGGGGCACACACATGCACACATACCTGATGTGAGTTTCAAGCTACCAGGTCCAAGACTCAAACCAGTCAATGGTGTGTGAGTCCAGCACCTTAACTACTACACCACCTGCTGACCCAGAAAAAATTTCTTTTTAAGAATTATTTATTTAATTGTATTTGTTATTATTATTCTCTAATTAGACCAGAGAGAGAAATACAGAGAAAGAGAGAGAGAGAAAGCAAGCTGCCAGGTCCGAGACTCAAACTGCAGTCAGCCATGTGGGAGTCCAGCACACCAACCACCACGCCACCTGACAGCCCCCAGAATTTTAATAGCTAACAGAAGATAAATCCTATGCAGAAAGAAGTACATGTCTCAAAGCTAAGTGAAAACAGAATGTTATCTACATCACTGCATTTCTCATAAGCAGCAGTTTTGTTCTTTACTTAATAGGAGCCACAAAGGGACAGAAAAAGTTCATTTTAATAAAAAAATAGACAAGGGACCAGCAGGTAGCAAGGTGGTTAAGGCACTGGACTCCAATATGACCTACCAAGATTCCCATCCTGGACCCAGCTGCTTGAAAAGCAGGCCCAGCGCAACTTAGTGTGCGTCCAAAATCCCAAGTGAACCGAGAAGGGACTGCATAGTGGTCATCACTCCTGGCGGGGGAGGGGTGATTTCTCACTTTCCCTCTCGATGCCTCTCTCTGGAGAGTACACAGTGCCCTATAGCAAAAAAAATAAAAAATAAACCTTTCCAGGCTATAAACTTCTGGGGCTGGGTAGCTTGCAACCCTGTCTGCATTTGCAGAAAGCTGGGATTCTGTAAATGTGAACTGAACGATAAATGCGCCCCCAAGAGCCTATAATTGGCAACCACCATTGGGGGACTACAAAAAGTATTAGAAAAGCCATTAACCTGAAAACAGAACACAGACAGGCTGGGGATGAGTACTGGGCAAAGTAAAAAGCACATGGGACAGACCTTTACCCACCGCCTGCCACATGCCGGCACTGTCCCAGGGCCGGGAGTTTGTGGTTACCCCAAGAGTCCCTGGCCTGTGCAACTTGAGACAAATACCCACGTGGGGTTAAAACTGGTCGGCGCCCTCAGGGCGTACGGTGCAGTCCAGGACAGAGACAGACAGGAGGCCGGATTTCGGCAGCCCGCAGGGTCGGCCTCTTTTTCCGGTCACATCTCTCGGGCAAGTGAATGGGCACAGGAGGCGCGGGGGAGCGCATTCCAGGCAGGGACCACAGCTGTGCGGGGGTGACCGGGCCTGGCGAGTTGGGACGTCTCGGGGAGGCCTCACACTCGTGCCTGCTCGCACACAATCCCGGTCCCCGGGGCGTGCCACCCCATCATTCAACTAACAGGTGCTCAGCCTGGGCCCAGACTTCGTGGCGGGCGGAGGGCGCGAGGCGCGGACCGCGGTCCCTCCCGCGCGGGGATAGTCACCTGAGCGGCTCAGCACCTCCCACTCGCCGGGCCCGCAGAAGATCGCCGCCAAGGCGGAGAGCTCCTCGCGCACCGACTCCTCCATGGCACGGCGGCCGGCCCGCCCGCCCCCCCCCCCCCCCCTTCT